AACAACGAAATTCAATAACTAAACCGAAAATAAACACACCAACTAAATAGTCATCATCATGGGCACGGTCCAATATCCTTTGAAAATCAACGAAGTCAAAATAAGCATTTTCACATCTACGTGAAGTCTTGTCAATGATAGTTGATGGTAGGAACAATATTTTGTATCTATGATAAGTCGGTCTACAACTATCCTCACAATCGATAATAGAAAAACGACTGATAATAATCCAACTACCAACATCTATGCGAGACGATGCGACACCGATCTCACCATCTCTAACACTGGCCTGAATTTTAACACCCTGCAAATAAAACAGTCAATTAGACACCAATAAATTTTTATAATATTTTTGTGTAATAGTATAATAAATACCTGTTCATCCGACAATATGAGCTCCATGGAAGAACGTTTCGAAATTAGCATATGCATCCACATCTGTACAACCTTAACAAAGATAGTACAACCATCTTTGGAAGGACTCAAACGTGACACACACCTTCCAAAACACATTGAACCAAGAGAACTGTATAAGTACACACCGAATTCTGGTGGCTCGATATACTAATATTCTTTTCGATGAGTATATCACTCGGTTCGACGTTTCGCTGATTCTCACTATCATCGTCAATCTCAGTCTCATCATCCAACATAACATCTTCATCATCATCTCCATCATCATCAGTTGAATCAGCATCGTCATCATCTTCATCTTCGTCATCACCGCTATCACCTTCCGAGTCATCACCTGAACCATTAGATCCTTCACAAGACTCATCGTTGTCAATAAAATCATCTTCAGAATCGTATTCATCTGTTTGGTCCATATCATCAGTATCATCGCGCATCTCTGAATCAGACCCCATATAATCCTCAAAACAATAATCATCATCAGTACCACGACCAGATAACACCTCGGTATCATCAGAGTCACTATCTTCTGCATAGATAAATATATGGAAAAAAAACAGCATAGTTAGAATTCTAAAATAAAACAAATAAAAAAAACGGTGCTCAAAACAAAAAACGAAGAATTGAAACCATTAGATTCTTTATTTATAACCCAAGCAATCCTCGTAAAATCCCATAGAAAGGTCTTCTGAGCATGATCGCTCGTATTAACACGATCAGAATCTAAATGCACAAAAAAACATCAGAACAAACATAAATACGTATAAAAATTTTAATATACATCATTAACAAAAATTAAATTACAGGAAGAGCAGAAATACCTCCTTTGATAAAAAAAAACTTGTGATCAAGCATAGATATATAATACGCAGAATCAATATCTACATAAAAAATGAATACGTTCGTAGATTAATATATAGTAAAGGTACGAATTTGAAAGACTGAGGTATAGCACTACAAAAGGTACAAAACTGTAAGATTAATAGACAGGACTACGAACCTTCTATAACAGGATTATATGTCCGCAATGTCCACTCGTCGATAACAGGATCCATACACAACTTGCATGGATAACCTAAAAATACAAAACAACTACTAATAAGTATTATAACTTGCATGAATAACCTAAAGAGGCACAACTACCTTTTTTGTGATATCGACGAAAACATATGGAGTTACGTAACGATAATCAGTCATCTCTTTGTGATCCATATTTTTGACGATCCGAATTCAACACAGATCTTAACCCGTGAGCATAAGCCTGGATATCAAAACCTATAGTCGAAAAATATTTAGAATCGTTAAAAAATTAGAGAGCATATATATTATTATTAATTTGAGGATAACCAGATATATACCCGAAGCAGTAGACGGAACTTCCTAAGTGATGACGACTTTAGATGGATGATCAAAGCTGTACTTAGACGAACACATAGTTAGGTTTGCATCCAAATAGACAAACATGATGAATCTTTTGTAAAGAGATCCAAAAAGTTAATGCTATTATAAAAACCTAGCAAAATAAATACGGATCTCTAACAGAAAAACTAAACTGTAAATTATGAGACGATTGGTTGAAAACACTCGTATTTATACGTCTAAACAACCTAGGCTTTATTTCTTGCGAAAAATACTAAAAGGTAATTCATAGTTTAATATACGATATTATCTTCCCATGAATATCGTAGTTATAAATTATAAAAAAATGTAAAGATTCCATTATAGATAATAACAAAGAAAATTATGATATATTTCCTTTTGCAAAATATGTAACAAATAAAAATTATTTTCAAACATCGAATCGTATAAAAAACTAAAAAGTATAAAAAATAACCACAGGATTTGAACCCGTAAGCATTCGATAAATGGACAAAGCACCTAACCAACACTGCTACCATCTCATTCAGCATAGATGACATATTGGAAGGTGTGTATAATGTTTCTGTATTTGAAAATTTGGATGTTGGGCCACATTATTCAGGAGTTATAAATACGGCCTATGTTCCATTTTTTAAAATGATATTAGTATTTAATATATGGTTTAATAAGCATTTAGTTTATGGTTTTAATAATTAAAAATTATTGATCAACCAATCAAATTATAACGTGAGATGACCAATCAGATTCCACAATTTTCATTAATCAAAACGATACAAAAATCTGTACGTTAAACCACAGCTCGAATCACTTTTTAAATACTATAATAAATAAATCAGGGTGTGTAACATTTGATTATCGAAGCTCAACATGTTAGTCCTTAACAAAAAAAATGAATCATCGCATAGTCAATACTTTTGGATTTTTAACTCGGAAAAAAAGTCTTAAGCGATTAAGTTAATACGTGGATACGACATTTCAACAAAAATTTCTACCGAGATCTTTTATCATTTTTTTTGCTTTTACTCTGTGCGGTATAATTTTTATTCTGATACTTTCTTCATCTAATTATTAGATTCCTATGGTTCTGTAAATGTAAAAATAGATACCCAAGAAAGAAAAAAATCAAATAGCAGACAAAAAGTTATGATGGAAATAAAATTATAGAAGAAAAAAGGAAGATATAATTTAGATGGTTGGTGATAAGGCTGTGAATGGTGAATTATTATATGCAGTTTTCTAAGTACGGTATTAAAAACCACACCAAAGTTATAATCGTGTTTTTCGTTAACAAATTTGTGGTTTAAAGAAATAATTAAATCAAGTGCGGAATTCAAAATAAGGTACAATTTTGTCTAGTGGACAAAAAACGTACTACAAATTGTCCAGCAGGTAATAAACAGTGGTCGAAGTAAAAACGCACTATACAATATTTTTCTTATTTTTCTAAAAATAATTAAATTTTTAATATTAGTCATCTCCTATAAATAAAAAATCATTCATGTTATATCAATCATCTCCTATAAATAGAAACACATGACCTTTTGATATTAACTATTTCTTTATTTTGCTGAACACTGAATATATTTTTTAGAAAAATATATATATATATATATATATATATCTATTTTTTAAGATATAGTAATATTCATGTACATAAAAGAATGATAACAACTACAGTAAAATTGGCTCACAGCGCTAGAGTCTATCCAAGGAATGTGATTTATGTGAACTCATCTCCACCGGTTTGGTTAACACCTTCGGTTTAGGAGAAGAGGCTGTTGACAAAAAAAAAAAAAACTACAGTAAAATTATATTGTTTTATAAAAATTTCATATTTTTTAAGATGTAAGGTTTCTATATGTAATAACATAGAAGAAAATAAATAATATAGATTTAGAATCTTATTTAAATTGTTAATATATCAAAGTATTCTTAAATTTATGTATATCTTTAAATGTATATGAACATATAAATAAAAAAGATAACTTAGGTAAATTTTTGTAGCTTAAATTTATTAATCATATATTTTAATTATATTAAATTATAATATGTAATCTGCATTGATATCATTTTATTTACCATTCAAACATTTTTATTATGGACCGTAAGTTATTTTTTCACCAATCAAACATTATTTTGTACCGTTTATTATATACAAATCGCATTTGTTCTGCAAATATATTTTCCCACATATACCGCAGTTAAACCGTACCGTATTTTAAAACTGTTTTTTTTTTCCGAACAACCAAATACGCCGTCACAATCTGACCTTAAATGTATTAGACACGAAGGAAGTCATCTCTTGTCCATTTGACAGAAAGTATTTCAACGCCAAAATCATGAATCTGTTTTTTTAGAACAGCCTTTTTATATACAATTATATAGCCTACTTACACTGTAGTGTTTGTCTTTTGTTTCTTGTATAGGTCTCGAGCATAGATAAACCCTACCAGCGAATATTTCAGACCAATTCTTGCAATAGGAGATACTATTATAGGATGATTATGTGTGTCTTGGTTTCAAAAATGTGATATGTTTTGAGATTCGTTGATATATAGATGGTAAGCTTCAAGGCAAAGAAGAATATTGCTGCTGAGAAGCCATACGTTGCAGCACTATGCGAAACACTTGTGTTACTCCATCTGAAACCATCAGAACAAAATGTCATAAAGTTGATTAAAAAGCTTTGAAGCAAATCCCGTCTTTGGTATATTGATCTTTTGCCTTGTTAAAAGTTATTAGGGTTCTCTTTTGTCCATTGCTTTTAAGAATTTGATTATTTCTTTCTTTCTAGTGGCTATTTACAGAAACACTAGGAGTGGTCTGGACATCACTGCACCTGCAACAGTGCCACAGACACCAACTCCTTGCTCAACAAGACCAGCTCGGTCAAGAAGCGTCCTCTGATGATGATGAAGACGTAGCATCTCCTCTACCTTCTGCTATGCCTTCTGGTCCTAATACTTTTTTTCTTTTTGTCATCCTGGTCCTAATACTTTGATGACCTGATCATACCAGGCAGGTAAAGCTGCTGCTTTAGCCAAAATAATGGCAAGGAAAGTGAAAATGAGCGATGCAGATGAGGATATTGAGGAAAAAGAAGGCTCATCTGATGTTACACAGGAGAGGATTCAGATGAATTTTTTTTATCGGATGTCCCCGAAGGGACGAGAGGATTCAGATGAATATGATGAATAAATTGACCATCTTGGTTTTGACAAAAACAAAAGTACAAAAACTAAAAACTTATAACAAAGCAATGATGAATATGATCATGGGGAGCTAAGAGAATTAGGTACATTATTTTCTACTGTAAAACAAAGTAAACTAGACTATGAAGAAATCAATTCGCCAAAGTCGTCTCAGATTGGTTCAACCAATCAAGCTTAGTCTCCGGGAGCACTTTAAATTCCTCATTCACATTCCTCTCGAGAATCCCATTAATTCTCCAAAGCACCATCTTACTTTCCATTTTCATGCCTTCGATTGCATATAGCTTCCAAAGCAAACCCTTAACGAATCTGTATTCACAAGTCTGGTACCAGTCCCATTGTTTCTCCACAATGCTTTCAAGATCTCTAAAAGCTCTCCTCACAAGGCCAACTTCCATTTTTCTTTCCACAAGCTCTTTCACCGAATCTATCATATTATCTGCAATCATCTTCACGAACCCAACGGGGCTTGGGATATTTATCAAGCGAATCACTGCACAAAACGCACCCGTAAACGCCAAGACCCAGCTACTGTTATCGACCAAAAGCTCTCCTGGTGGGTTTAGCCTTTTGCACATCTCTGGGACAAGATTCTTTAGAGCAAGAAGCACAAGACTATTCTTTTTATCATCAAGCCGCATTGTTAAACACTGGAAGATATAAACCGCTTTGCTGAACTCTGCTTCGGTTTCCGTTGCAATATAGTCCCATAGATCGAACCACATGTCATTTCTGTAGCTGAATGCCTCCAGTGCAACGTGGAACACAACCTGACCGAGAATCCTGAACGTGTTCTCAGGCATTCCTTTATCCTTAAGGCAAGTGATAAGCAGTGGCAGGAGTTTATCGATCTCTATAAGATTTAAATCATGATCACAAACTAAATCATGGAGTCTTCTGATTGCTGTCTCTCTGGCCCTATCGTTATGATCAGCTAATAGAAAGGCTCTCAATATATCAAATGCAGACTTTGTCGTCAACTCGTAGTACATCTCACGGTCATCTCCAAATCCATTACCTTGATTTTCAACGCGAGATGGGCTGAGCTTGAAAGATGGATTGTCCTCATACTTGTCAAGTTTTGTAACCATCTGATTGATCTTCTTCGCAGTTTCTCTCGTCGCTGCTCCTCCGATTCCTGCGATCCTACACGAAAACTCTGCAACAAAACCGCATTGAACGCTACTCCATTTACACAACTCCACCTCTTTCGCTAGATACCTCACAAGTTGTTCAAGCGCTCCTTGGAGAAACCCTTCCATTCCCATACTCACAAGCGCATTAGCTGAATTGAAAACAGATTCAAGAATCTCCTTTGCCAAATTGAATCTCAGTTCTGAATCTGAAAGCCGAATCCCCAATTTCACAGCAGTTTCTAAAGCCAACGTCCAATCTTCGTCTTTATCTTTCTCAGGATGAGACAGAATCTTGTGCACTTCCTCTATAAGTTTGTAAAGAAACCTGTCAATGAATCCTCCATGGACTGGAGGCAAATCGAGGAAGACGTTAAAAGCCCTAAAAGGATCGCTACTCGTGAGCGATAGTATACAATCGCCGAGCTCGTCCCATCCGCCAGAAATGTCATGGTTCACAGCATCGAAAGCTACCAAAGAAACGATGATTCTTAGGATCTTCGTGTCAGGTTTCTTCGGGTTTGGCATCGTCAGGCAAGAAATCAGAAGCTTCTTGATGTCATCTAGAACGTAGAGAGCGAGTTCGAAGCCGCGATTTCTTTGTTTGGTAAGAGTATCGGAAAGGAGAAGGATCGATCGGAACCTGGCGACTTCATCCGAAGCGTGTCGATACACTTTGAGAAGCATTAGGGTTAAGCAATTCGAGAAATTGGCGACGCAGAAATCGTAGAGAGCACGCGCTGTTTGATATTCGACGGATTCTTTATGCGTATAGAGTTGATCGACGATAATCGCTAATCCTTCGTGGCTTGGAGTGGCGAGAAGACCTCTGGATTTCAACATGAGACTTAAAGATCCCTCCGCCATTGTTGATACTGAAGAATTGGTTTCTGCCATTTTTCCCAAGAAAATATTGGCTCCGTTGTCTCAGAAAATGGGTTTTGATTTGAGTGTTGAAGATTTGTAGGAGGAGATTACGCTCTATTTACCAGAACTCAATATAAACCGGACTTGACCAAATCATATATAAATTCGGTTTGACTTTGAGTTGAATAAAAAAAAAATCAGGGACAAATCCTACTAAACCGAACGTAAATCAAACCAGAACCCAACGGTTTACTCTCTACTCTTTTTAGTTTTTATGCCTTCTTAAAAAAATGACGAAAATGCCTTAAAGTTTATGAAATATTTTTCCAAATCAGTACTAGTCGAATAAATCGAACTCAACTTCATATTTTTAAACCCTTAGCCCTAAATTTTTATATAACATCATTTTGATAAGCAAACAAAAATGTGACCCTTGTTGTCAGGTGTAAGTGTGTAACTATGTTTATACAAAATGTTTTAGATAACAAAAACTAATTATGTAAATTTACCAACTAGTTAGACATAAAATTTCAACAAATAACAAATATTATATTCCAGCATATAATAAACTTGATACATATATATATATATATATATATCTTTTTTTACGACAATATATATATATATATATTTATATCTTCAAAAATGAGAAAATGTAAAACAAAATTTAATCACCAGTGAAAAAATAAATAAGAGTAATCTATTATATAATAGGAGAGTTTTCTCTCCATCTAGGTGTCCACATCAGCACCAAAAATGAAAACTAAATTTAATAACTCAATTAATTCACACACATTAATAACTATTATTTTTCATTAAAAAAATACTATTACTATTACTAAAATTAATAATTTAATTATGTATAAACTATTTATAATTCTTCTATTTTTATCAAGAAAAATAATAGTAAAAACTGAAGAAAAATTAGGAAAAAAGGATGATAAAAGAAAGTCCAAAGACGATAAAAAAATAAAAAAAAATAGGAGAAAGAAGAAAAATTAAAATATAATTAAGACGACACAGATGAATACGAAGTAAAAAAAAGAATACATATACCAAACAAATAAAAATAAGAGACGCAAAATAAGAAAAAATGAAATTTTTTTTAAAAAAAATTAGAAGTCGAAGATGATGAAGAAGATGATAAAAAAAAAAGATAAAAGATAGAAAGAAGAAAAACACAAAAATGATGAAAATCAATTTTGAAAAATGCATAAATAAAAAAGTTGAAGATTAGAAAAGAGACGACAATATGAAGATAGAAAAAATTAAAATTCATGATTCAATTAATTCCCACATTTTAAAATAGTATTATTTTTTAAAAATAAACATTAGTATTAAAATTAATGACTTAATTAATTCAGACATTTTTATAATAATTATTTTGTATCAAGAAAAAAAGAAGTAAAAACTGGAAAAAAATAATAAGTAGAAATAGTTAAAGAAAAAGACGATGATGAAAACAAATATCAAAGAAGATAAAAATAATTAAAAAAATAATAGCAAGAAGAAATAATCAAAATATTAAAAAAATTATGCAGATGAAGACAAAATAGACGAGGAATAATACATATACGAGATAAGTGACAATAAAAGATAAACTAAAATCAGAAAAAGAAGATGAAGAAAAACTGAAAGGAAAAAAAAAGAAATAGAAGTCGAAGAAGATGAAAAAAAAAAGGTAAAGAAAATGAGGAAGAAGAACACAAAGCTGATAAAGAGGAATTTCAAAAAATACAAGAACAAAAATGTTAAAAATCAGAAAGAAGAACTAAATTGAAACTAACAAACTACAATAATATAAAAATGAATAAGGAGTCTAATAAAAAATTAAAAGACAAATATGATGAATTAACTGTTTAAAAAATAAAATTCTGCGCAACACGTATATTATAAATAAATCTAGAAGTTAATATATATATATATATATACATAGAAATATTAATAGAAGATAATAAAAACAATAATTAAGAGAAATTTGTTGTTATATAGAAACACTAAGAATGATAACTAACCGAACACATTGTGTTTTTTATAAAATAATATATAAAACATATAAAAACACAAGCATAAAATAAAATCCGCGCGAAACGCGGATTCAACCCTAGTAACATAAAAACACAAAAGAAGTTTAACTGTTATTTATTTTGATTTTTCTAATTAAATTTTATCATAAATTTTAAAGTATCAAAGTTTATTACTATTATTTTAATTAATTTACACAACTATTTATAAAGTATTATTTTTTTGTCCACAGTTTTGGTACTTAAAACGATTCAATAATCCAAATCGGTGGTACCGAGTTTACATACATTACATTATGAGGGTAAATTCGAGTATTTCGTGTTAAGTTGTCTGTCTTCGTATTCTTTGCTCATGTAATATGTGAAATCCAGAAGAAATTAAATGCCTTCTTATTTTTCACGAATTTCTCCATGTGTAAGTCAAGCGCTGGCTATTTTTCCGGGGTCGACACCATCTTCATTAGTTCAAAACAGTCTGTTGCAAAAACTATTTCCATCATGTTATTTGCGAGCATATAAAGCATTGTCCAGATAAGTGCTTCTAATTCCGAAAATAGTGGTGATAAACTTCTCCAGATATTTCTTGCACCCATGATTGTCCTTCTGTTCCATCCTTAAAATAATACTAAGCTAGGTCTGAGGCTTTAACCGTCGCTTTCCAGAATCCATCGATATAGCACCACCATCCCGTATAGTGGAAATGTATTGTGGGAGGGATTCCATTTTGAAATAGTATGTCTGATCCCTGTTGTTGTGCCTTCTCCCACACTGTCGCTTCAGCTCTCGCAATCTTTAGTGTGATTTCCGGGTTCTTATCTATATTTGAGTATAACTTTTCATTCTTTGCTTTCTAAAGATACCACATTATCCATGTGAACTGCAATATTTTGTTTTCTTTTGAAAGTCTCCAAAAAAGATGGTCAAAATTCGAAAATATTAAAGCCATTGGAAAACCTCCTGAAAGGGTAGGTATCTGGGATAGACCCCATGTTTATAGAGCCGGGGGTATTCAAATAGTGCATAATTAATAGCTAGTTTTCTCTTCTGCTCCGCACCGAAAACACTGTGTGTCACGCTGAATACCCCAATTATTTACGAAGTAATTTTTTTTAAATAACTAGTTTTTGTTATCGTATGTCACATAAAAATAGAACAATTATTTTTTGTTAAATAGTTGTTTAAATTAATCATTTTCCTTTTAAAGTATTAATATCGAATTATTTTTCTTTTTTTCTATGAATTATACACATATATATATATATATATATTACCATATTTGACTTTCTTTTTTTCTAATAGAAAAAAATACTTCTCTATGTATCAATATTTGATTGATTAACTTATTAAAAAAAGCTAAAAATACATCAATTTCTATTTTAGTTTTTTCCATCTGAGTTAATATCTGTTACAAATGATGAGCTGGGCCGGCACTTAGCACGTGTGACCTGGTATATAACACAGGGCCCAATATAATTTTAGACTTAATATAACTTTTAAAAAATTTGCTTTTAACAAAAAAATTATTGAAAAAATACAAACAAATTTTAAGAACAACATATAGTATCAAGTGTCAACATAATAGAAGGTTTTTACAAAAAACTTTTTTTATCATAATTAATTTTATTCTCATTGTTAATAAGTGATTTATAACGTATACATTTGGTTTTTGATAGATTTTTTCATATATATTTTTGATAATTGAAGTGTTTAATGTTATATAATAATCATTGTTTATGAAAATTATTAAATTAATTATTCAGTGATTGTTTACTCACCTTTCACTCCTATATATGGTAAATATTTTTTATTAGTTCACCATATAAATATTTTAAAAAATTATATATTATAAAGTCTATTGTAAATTAGTAGCACAGGGTCTCAAATTTGTTCGAAACGGCACTGAGAGCACAATTACATAAATAATTTTATTAACGGATAATTCTACTTGTTTATAAGGATTTACGACACACAATTCTACCTGTAGTACACTTGCAACGGACAGAGATACCTTTGACATGCGGAACCCTGACAAATAACTCTACTTGCATCGAAATTTCCTATAATTTTGCATGCATTAATTTGCATTTCTCTACGAGTGATCGACAAACTAGCAAATATATCGCACAACCATGTTAGTTATAAAGTTAGAATCACAAAATTTATATAATAAGATTAGATTAGATCTTGTGTATATTGTTTTGTAAGTTAATATTTAATAACTCGTGAAAAAAACAAAGAAATCTGATCACTCATAAAAAATTAAATTAAAAGTAAATAATTAAGAAGTAAAAACAATCAAAAACCAGTCAATCTTATTATATATAATTCAAATTTAGTAATTTGTCAGATCGTGACACGTGTCAAATAAATCGATAAGATTTGATATGTATTGAGTGACTTTCTAACTATAATTTTAACTAATTGTATTAAAAAGAAATTTTATGATTGGTTTTTAATCATAAGAAAAAAGTAAAAGGAAAAAAATTGTTTAGATTAAAGAAAAAAAATTAAATCTTATAAATTTTTTTTTGAGTTTAGCATAAAAAATTAAAATAATAGATTACAAATTCACAAAAAAATGTAATTTTTTTAAATTTATGTTATTCATGTTAGGTAGAATGGTTATTATTACATTAATGTAGTTATATAGAATAGTTTTTCATTAATTATTATAGTTTCATTATTTTGTGTTTAAATAATATTTAATTTTTGATAACTTTATTTTAAAATTTATGTATAACATATTTCCATGGATAATTTTCTTTTATTTTTTTTTGTTTTCAGAGGTTATAAAATATTAAATTATAAATCTACATATATGTGACTATTTATCTAGACTTATATTAATTTATAAGGTGGTTATTGTTAGATTAATATGGTAATAGTTATGTTTTAATTATTGTACTTTTATTAATTTATGTGTAAATATTATAGGATTATTGATTATTTTATTTTCAAAATTGTGTATTATATATTTTTTACGGGTGATGTCATTTTGTTTTCTATTTTTTTCATGAATTATAAA